AGCAGTCCATCGGGTGGGTGCAGGGCACTTGAGAGAAGGTGAGGCCAGACAGAGGAGGCTGCAGAAGGACCTGCAGGCTCTGAGTTCTGAAAGTGCACACCCAGAACTTGAGCTGTGTAAATTAGATTTCATTTGAAGTTACCTGGCAACGGGAGCTCGTTTCTTTTATGACTGAGGTGTAAGACTTCCCGGCAGCCGTGGTCTCGCCCTCTGGCCCTGTTACTGACCTTCGTTTTAAAACGCAGGACGAGGCCCCAGCAAAACCTTTGTACCATCCTCTGTGGCTGCTGTGCCCACTCAGTACTGTCTTACTCAGGTCTGCTGAGATCACAAGCACATTCCGGCTCATGCTGTCAAGTAACCTCTAATGCACACATGGTTTGATTGATGAAAAATAGTGTAATGATCAAGCTGATAGTTTATGTCTTGGGGGAGCCTTTATTTAAACTGTTTTTTTTTTTTCAAACTTGCAGTTATTGTTTTCTTTTTCATTTTGGAGCTAGTAAGATTTCTCTCCCAGGAAATAATAAGAATGAACAGTCATATACCAGAGACATTTTGTGGGGTGCAGTGGGGAGTGGGATCAAAAACGGTGGGGGGAGGGAAGTGCACTGGACTGTGGTGATGGCACATGGGTGACTTGGCGATGGGAAGCCCATGGGGATTACAATTGAGATGAAAAAAAAAGTACAAAATGATGTAAAAATAAACTATCATATTTAAAAAAAAAAAGATTTCTCTCCCAGTCTCCTGCATCATCTCAGGTCCTGGAAGAGCCATGTAAACGCCGCTGCTTAGCAGAACTGCCCAGCGAGAAGGGACGAACAAAGCCTGTCAAGCCTACTTCCCTATTTGAATTCTACCCCAGAACGGGAATGTGAGAAAGCGCCTTTCCCTTCTGTTTCCAGAGCTTTCTCATTTCTCTCACCTGTGCTGTTCCCCGACTGGACCGTCATGGCTCCGGTAAATGCTGGGCACGCCCTCACGCTGAGTGCCACAGGCACACACCGGCACACACGCACAGCGACCCTCCCCGGGCGCAGCCTGGTTCCTGGGGTTAGGAGTTTCTGGCGGACATTTACCCACTGGACACGGTGGGAGTTCTGACCTGGCTGGCTGAGCTCTCACACGCCATGGGCGCTGGCCGTTTTCCTCCTGCCATTCTCAGTGGCCTGCAGTGGGCCCTGGAGGGTGAGGGACTGTCCCAGCTGAAACCCCCTCCCGGGGCTGCTGGCCATGGTCAGGACACTTTACTAGGATCTCTCAGGCTGGGGCCTCCCACACAGTTCCAGGAACTTTGTTTACAGTCTCTGAGATGTGGGGCTGTCCAGGTTGGTGCTAGCCAGAGGTCAGCCAGTGGGGTCCCCCCAGCCCGTGGGGGCCACCACCTGGGGTCCCAGCTTGGGTGTCTGTGGTCTGAACCCTCACCCTCCACGCTGCCAGAGCTCTGGCCTCCGTCCTGACCTCTGACACCATCCCCAAGCACAGCGTTGACCCCTGACATCTGACCCCCCCGCTGCGCAGCCCAGCTAAGCACTGATCCCCCCCATGTGACTCCCGCCCTGAGCCCAGCCCGGAGCCACTAGGGCTGGGCGTTGACTTCTGCCATTCGCCCCCACTTTGGCGGGCACAGCCCACCCTCCCCCGCCTCGATCGATCGATCGCCACCGCGCTACACCCCACCTGCCCGACCCTGATCTGGCGGGGCGCCTGGCCCCGCGGCCCCTGGGGAATTCCTGCGGGCGGCCCCCTCCCACGCCGCCGCCGGGACCCCCGTCGCGTGGGAAGGGCTTGGGTCGCGGCCCGGGAGACGCCGGTTGGAACAGTCCTGCCACTTCGGCCGCTAAAATGATTTCTCGGAAAACCGAGCGCTTCGAAGAATGCGGGCCCCGCGGGCCACGCCCACGGGGCGGTTCCCCGCCGCCCATTGGCTGCTGCGGCCGCCG